AAATTGCGTGGTATGTACATAGCGCGCCAACTTAGTTTTCACGGAGTGACATTCAAAATTGATGAGGTAGCGCTGTCCAAGGAGTTCCGCAAGGTGTACGATCAGTCTGTGGAGCTGGTAAGTTTAAACGAGCGTTTGTTTTATTTTTATTTTTTTTTCTTAAAAATATCCTTACAGTGGGTTGAAGCTATGCAGAAGTTTACTGAAGCCGCTGAACTTATTGACGCAGAAAGTCGCATGAAAAAAACAATGTGGGGACAATTTTGGTCATCGCATCAACGCTTCTTCAAGTATCTCTGCATTGCGGCTAAGGTCAATCATGCGGTACAGGTGGCGCGCGAGGCTATTAAATACGGCAAATGCGTTGTCATAGGTCTACAATCGACGGGAGAGGCTCGAACGCTGGAGCAACTGGAGAGAGATGAGGGAGAACTGACTGATTTCGTGTCCACAGCAAAGTAAATAAGAAAACAAGAAAACAGATTCTAAAAATTAGAAAGTGTTATTTCCATTCCATTCATTCCCTTTCATTCAAAAAATATAATATATAATATAAAATATAATATAAAATATAATTCTAACAGCTGAAGTGAGGAGTGCACTTATTTCTAACCACACTGTCTTTCCTCTAGGGGCGTTTTTCAATCACTAGTGGAGAAGCACTTTCCTGCACCTGATCGCAACCGCATCAATCGCATACTCGGCCTGGGCGGCTACGGCGAAGAAAAGAAATCGCCTATCCAAAGCATAATCGAGGAGGTAACCGGCAGGCGCGAGGCTAGCGTCAAAGATGAACCCTGCTCCTCGTCATCGAGCACCGCAGGCAGCAAGCGTAAAGCGTCGCGACAAGAGTTGCGCACAAAGAAATCGCGCAAAAATTCCTGGAATGATTCTGATGATGATTCGCAGCAGGAATCGGAAGACAGTGATTACAAAATGTCCAACTCCGAGTCTGAGGAATCTGATGCGGGCGCACGTTCTGACAGCTGCGAATCCTCCGACTTCAATCCATTCTTTAGCGGATCGGATAGTGATAATGATCCATGGGTGGCACGTTCGAAGAAAAAGGCGAAGAAGAAGGCCAAGCCGAAGGAGCCAGCTGGTGGTGGTAGTAGCAACAATAGTGCCGCCGCAGCTAGCAGCGCCACCGCAACTGGCAGTGCCGCTAACAATGGTGCACTTCCCGCTGCTATCAGTACAGTGGCGCCCAAGCGCAAAGGTTTGTTGAAGAAATCTTCAAAAAAAGAAATACGCTAATATCCTTTCTTTTTTACACGACTTCAGGTCCAGTCTCCACACAAGATCGCATACAAGACCTGCTACAGAAGAAACAAGAACTAAAGGGTACCGTCACGCAGATCGGTGTCAATGGCATCAAGCTAAACTATGGTCCACCGCCCAAAGACGCCATTGAGCGCGCCTGCAGCATGAAGGAAGAACTGTTGCGTAAAATTGAGCTACTCGGCGAGCGTCTCCCACCGAACACACTAGACCAGCTGATCGATGAGCTAGGCGGCCCCGACAATGTCGCCGAGATGACGGGCCGCAAGGGTCGCGTGGTGCAGTCAGACGACGGTTCCATACAGTATGAGTCACGTTCCGAGCAGGATGTGCCACTCGAGACGCTCAACATCACCGAAAAGCAGCGGTTTATGAACGGCGAAAAGGATGTGGCTATCATATCAGAGGCGGCATCCAGCGGTATTTCGCTGCAGAGCGATCGGCGCGTGCGCAATCAGCGCCGACGTGTACACATCACGCTCGAGCTGCCTTGGTCAGCCGATCGCGCAATACAGCAGTTTGGACGCACACATCGTTCCAATCAAGTGAATGCACCTGAGTACATATTCTTGATTTCTGACTTGGCTGGTGAGCGCCGTTTCGCATCAACGGTCGCGAAGCGTTTGGAGTCGCTTGGGGCGCTTACGCATGGCGATCGGCGCGCAACCGAGACGCGTGACTTGTCGCAGTTCAATATAGACAACAAATATGGGCGCACGGCACTGGAGACTGTAATGAAGACGATTATGGGCTATGAGGCCCCGCTGGTGCCGCCACCTAACGACTACAAAGGCGACTTTTTCAAAGACGTTGCTGGCGCGCTGGTGGGCGTGGGCATTATCGTAAATAGTGAGACCAATCCGGGCGTCTTGAGTTTGGACAAAGAGTACAACAACATTTCGAAGTTCTTGAATCGCATACTGGGTATGCCAGTGGAGCTGCAGAATAGGCTTTTCAAATACTTCACCGACACGTTGACGGCTATCATTAATCAAGCGAGACGGGGTGGTCGCTTTGACTTGGGCATTTTGGGTGGGTTGGCGCGCCTTGTGATGGTTATTATAAGTATTTACATAATTTAACTGGTTTTGCAGATTTGGGCGCCGCAGGTGAAAATGTGACACGCATCAAACTAGTTCGCTTCATACGCAAACACGCTACCGGCAAAGCACCCGCTGAGCTGCATACAGTGCGCGTTGAGCGCGGCATGATCTGGCAGGAAGCAATTGACAAGTGAGTAGTAGTAACGTATACTGGCCAACGCAGCGTCCGTGGACTCAGCTGCCGAGTACCCAAAGAAATTGAAAGACTAGTTTTCATAACCTTAATTTATGTTCCTTTGTTAAACGATATTTCATACTTCTGCAGATGGGCCGATCTAATCAGCGAATATGAAGGCTTCTATGTGTCGCATCAGGTGCGCAACGGCAAACGCACTGCCATTTTGGCTGTGGAAATCGAGACGCCATCCACACAGCAGCAATCGAACAGCAAGAAAAAGGAGAAGGGTATGAGCAAGAAAGATATGATGTTCCAGATTTATCGCCCCAATACGGGCCTACAAGTGCGTCACGAATCGTTGGCGGAGCTGGAGAAAAAGTACAAGAAGGTGCCCAGCGAGGAGGCGGAGCCGCATTGGACTCAACAGTACGACGCATCGGTGAACACCTGTTCGCACGCCTACTGGAATGGCAATTGCCGCAATGTTAATTTGGGCAATGAGTGTGAGGTGAGTGGTGGGGGTGTTAGTTCAAAGATCGGTTAATTTTCTTAAAACTAAAGCCCAGTTAGCCAAAACTTAATATATTGAATACAATCCTCTCTTGATTATCCTTGCGCCGCCTCTGAACAAACAAATTTCCTTACACCTATTTATTTCATTTCTAGGTTGGCTTGCGTCAACGGGTCTACAATGTGTTGGCTGGTTCGGTGCTCTCCGTTTGGACGCGTGTCGAGCAGGTATTGGCTATGCGCAATGCCAACAATAAAATGCAAGTGATACGTTTGAAAACCACCGAAGGTGAAAAGATTGTCGGTACGCTTATACCGAAATCATGTCATGAACTGCTGCTGCAAGATCTCAAATCTGATGCAGACCGTATTGAGGAAATGAAATTCTAAGTTAAATATCAGACGCGTAAAAAGCAACAAAAACAAGACCAACCAAACAGCGCAAAAGGCTTGAGTCATTTATCAATAGAAAGAAAAGCGGAAAAATGATACAAAACAAAAACAAGAAATATATTACTATGTTTTCGTTTCCTTTACAATTAGTACGTAGTGAATAGACTGCAATTTGTTAGTTGTGGTGCGTCAGCGCAACTGCAGATATGCATACTATATATATTTGCCGCCACCTGCTGGTGCGCGTGCGACTTGTCATTCTTATTCTGAACTGTAAATGTTATAAATTAATGCAAAACTTATTAATATTATATGAAAAAAAAAACAAACAAAAAATGCAAAACGGACTAAAACAAGTGTATACACGTGCACATCCAGCTATGTGCATACTGATGTTTCCTTGTACACTCCCATTTGCTAATGTATAGTTCTACACATAAATAGTACATGTAAATGTGTATTTTTCGTGCGCATCGCAATGCCCTTACGAAGGACGTGTGCACGCATCTACTTAGGCTTAGTCTCATAATTAAATAGATACCTAATGTAACATCTATTATTATTACTATTATAATAATTATCATTACTCCTTATGTTTAATGCAAATTCATTTCTCCCACTGCCTCGCTGAAGTGAATTTGCAAAAAAAAGCCAAGTTTTTGCAAAGAAATATGATTCTATGGATTCATACAAATGAAAACGCTTATTAATGGACTTTTTTTGTTTTGTTTTTGTAATACATTGTATTTAATTTTAAATTAAAAAAAAAAACATTACAACTACAAACTACAATTTAATATACATACCTACATACATATGTATCTAAAATTATTGCTAATTAAAACAATAATACAACAAACTATAAACAAATAAATGCAAAAATAATATGAGAGCTATCTGCAGCTGATTTGTTTTTGAATAAAGCTATTTTATGGATTTTGAAAAGCGGAAGAACTTCTGAATCAATGTTGCTTGATATACTACTTAACCGTTAGCGCCTTAAGCTAAAAGCCGGTTCAAACGCGTATCAACTACAGGTGATAGCCACGGTGCAGCGAACAAAGGTGCGCCCACGGTATTCTATCATTCTTGGATAGAAGCCATGTCTTATGAGCACGCTTGTGTCTGTGAAACCTTTCAGAATACTCTGCAATCCAGGGCGCGAAACGTAACATCCGTTCACGGATCGAAAACGATACGAAAGAAAATTACGTGATACGTCAGGCAGTATAAGCTGAATTGGAGAAAGACTACGTTTATGTATGTCATAATCGGAAAAATGTGTTTTTACGTGACGAGTAGTACGATAGCGTATGTAACGATTCGAGCCCTGGTATACAGGGTATACATGTACATGCGAATATGAATAGAAGCTGTTGTTAACACAAGGAGCTCATACCAACGATTCTAATTCGCAAAACATTCGTATCATTTGATGCGAATGCGAATGTGTAAATTGATGCGAATCCTTCGCATAACGAATGCGATTGCAAATATTCGCTACATCCCTGGTATCGACAACAGAAGACACCCTGTGCTGCGCAGGTATGTGCAATCGATTATCGTTTTGTACTTTCAACGCGCTCAGCTGATTGATGTTTTTAATTTTTTACGTAAACAGTAAAGCAGCGCAAAAATGAATATATCGCGAAATTTCAAACTAAGTTTTCTAAACAAGTCCATGAAATATGGACAAATGAATGAAAAATACCAGAAATCACTGGCGCAGCTGCGTCGAAAAACCACACATGCCACGGCAACAATTGGCGGGGACGGCCACTACGACCAAGATGGGAATGCACAGTCCACCGAAGAACGCACCACCCACTTTGGGTTCAGAAAGGTGAAAGAAAGTGAAAAGGAACAGAAGGGTAAGTGGCTGCAAAATCTGCACCAAGAGTCTACAAATATTTCCCATTTCAGTACACAAAGTCTTCGAGGATGTTGCCAGCTCTTATGACCTCATGAACGATGTTATGTCGGTTGGCATACACCGCATATGGAAGGACATCTTCATGGATCGCTTAGGTCCTGTACATGGCATACGCCTGCTGGACATGGCTGGTGGTACGGGTGATATTGCCTTTCGTTATATGCGCCAACTTGCTGCACAAGCAAATCCATTGAATCGCGAAAGTCATGTCACCATCTCAGATATAAATCAACACATGTTGGATGTAGGCAAGGAGCGCGCTAAACGACTACTACTCACAGAAGAGCATCTGCCAAATTTGAAAATCAATTGGCAACAAGCCGATGCAGAGCAATTGCCATTTGACGATGCCAGCTATACGGCGTATACAATCGCATTTGGCATACGCAATTGCACGCACATTGACAAGGTGGGTATGGCGTAGGAGGGAGAAAGTGTTGGTGCGGTTAGCTATAGGCAGATGTGCAGCTTTTGAACTGACACCAAATGATCAATTGTGTTTCTTATTTGTTTTTGTTTTGGTAGGTATTGCGTGAGGCATATCGCGTCTTGCAGCCAGGTGGACGTTTTATGTGCTTGGAATTCAGCCATTTAACCAATGACACACTACAGTGGCTTTACGATCAGTACTCGTTTCAAGTGATCCCGCCAATGGGCCAAATTTTAGCCGGTCAATGGCAGCCCTATCAGTATCTGGTAGAGAGTATTAGGCAATTTCCGAAGCAAGAGGATTTCAAGCAAATGATTGAAGATGCTGGCTTTGAAATGGTGCAATATGAAAATCTCACATTCGGCATTGTGAGCATACACTCGGGTTTTAAGCTATAAATTTTTATATTTGATACACATGCCAAGGCGTAAATAAGTTAAAAAACATAATATTAGTGGCAGCTAATTTACAGAATAAATGGCGTTTTTTAAATATATACAGGTAAATATTCAATTTCATAATATTAACCTGCGCAAGAGACATGGGCCACCGCTACAACAACAACGGCGTTGGTCCACCATGTAGCAACTTTCGCACGTATTTTATTTTACATAAAGGAGCTATACAACCAAATGCGTTTGTGGTTCGCATACCAATTCGAAATTGCATTTAAAAGCGGGCATAAAACGATATTAAAATACAATTTTAAAGCAGTATACATTGATGTTGGAATATATTTTGCAATTCTTAAGCGTTAAACATTTTTATCAAAACCCATATCATAAGCCTCAAAAATCTTTCATTTCAATACGTTACACGTATGCTAATTGTTTAGACGAGTTCTAATACATATACTTGTTATGCATGAAATTATAAACTTCATAAAATATTTTTTATTTATTGGAAGCACTAGGCATTTACATACAGATATTTACAAAAAAAAAAATAAAAATGTGGCCATTTGAGAAGTTGGAAATATCTATGTATGAAATTGCCATCCCAAGAAACTGATATCACAGGGATCATTACTGGAATTTGTATAATTGCTCCCGTTTAAGGTGTTACGAAGTTAAAACAGTTGACTTTGCGTTTGATAAGAAATTATTCCATGGCTTTTTTTTACATCTAGATGCATAAACTCCTCGAACTCGCGTAAACCTCGTAAATAAACCGGTTCCTATACAAATTGCGTAAGTTTACGCAGCAGCGTTTTCATTAATTTTATTTTCTTGCGCAACCGTAAGTTAGTGCTTAGCAGTTTTCAAATATGCAACTCATCACACATACGCCATGCACGACCATCATCGATGAAACGGGCATATCAATAAATTTTCTAAGTAATCATATAATTGGAGGCGTGCTTTAAATGGTAAACGCCACCCATTGAATGGATAGTTGCAGCTATGCAAATATTTATTTAGGAGCATGTGTATAGGTGTGTATGTACATTAGGGTGGTCCAAAATAAGTAAAGTTGGTATTTTAATGCTCTCACCCCATAGGATTGTTCTATATCGAAAAAAATATACCCCTATTTTTTATTTTGAAATCAAAAAATATTTAGAGGTCGCTCAAAGCGCTCAAAATTTTCCATGTATTTTATAAGGGGGAAAACAAGTTTTCGTAGAGATGGTATAGAATTCTTGAAAATCAATATTTTTCGATCGAAAAACTCTGATGCTCTTCAGGGGACCTCCAATATCATTATCCAATAGTTTATTTAAAAATTTTTTAGTAAGAAAAATTTTTTAGTAAGAAAGATTTTTTATTTAACCCCCCATTACATTTTCTGGCATTTTCTAAGTGTTTTGGCGGAGTTACTATGAAAAAATGGTTAAATAAATAATTGGGTATTACTATTGGGAATCTCCTGAAGAGAAATAGAGTTTTCCGATAGAAAAATATTTATTTTCAAGAATGATATACCATTTCTACGAAAGTTTGAGCGACCTCTAAATATTGTTTATTTCAAAATAACAGAATAGGGGTATATTTTTTTCGGTATAAAACAATCCTAGGGGGGTGGGAGCATAAAAATTCCGATTTTACTTTTTCCCACATGCATTTTTGGACCACCCTAATGTATGTTCATACATATATGTAAGCGGTTGGTACATGTGGATATGATATGTATAATTTCTTGTAGGACAACCAAATAAAGGCGAAATTTTAGCTGCATAGCTTTACGCTTTTTTGGACGCTGCTGTAATATTTAAATTTGTGGCCACTTGCCTCTTGAAAAATCAAAACAATGGTTAATATGTAAATAAGAAAGATAAAAAATAACAACAACTGCCAATAGACTGAAGTTCATTTTAACAAAGCCAAAAAAATGCGTTTTGAAAAATGCGTATATGGTTAAGCAATTATTTCATTATTTTTAAATACGCTTTGTTGCTGTTGTTGTAGCGGCTGCGATTACTTGTATAGCCACCTTAATAGGTGTCATTTGTTTTAAATTAAAATTATTAGACGTTAATAGTTTTTATTCGGTTTGCCGGAGTTGCCAAACTTTGTTTTTGCAATTTTTTTTTATAATACAAAAGTGAAACATAATCATTCTTAAATATATGATTTTTTTATATTCTTTTATTTTTTTTGTTGACACACTTTTAAAACCTGATTAAAAGCATACTGTAACCATCAGGAAGTGTCAAAATGACATAAGTTGCAAGTTTTTATTAGTTTTGCGTTCAATAACTTTCTGATATTTTTCCTCTCGCCGCAACAAAAAAAGCACTTGTTGACACACTTTTTCTCGCACTTGTTGCACCCTGTGCTTGGCACGCGCAGCATCTTTGCCTCGAGTGACATTTGGTGTTAGTATTTTTTTAATTTCCGCTCTATTTGGTTGAACGCATAGTTAACTTTTGTAAAATTTGTTACATTTTTGCAGTGAAATTTTATGTTTAAATGAAAATGTATACTAGTGCAAAGTTTAGTTTTGCATACAAGTAAAATTAGAGGCTAAAGTGTGGTGGAAAATGCAGCGCGAAAGGCACTGGCGATCAAGGCGTCCACCGAAGTGCAGAGGCGCTTTTTAACAGCAAAATGCCGACTTCCGGGGTAAGTGGAGTAGTTATTAGTAATCAAGGTTGTAAAAGAAGGTTCCGAATTATAATAAGTACTCTTCCGGCGCGTTAGTTGATGCAAAACGCTTTTGGCAAATGTTTACAAGCAAGTGGCGTCCTCTCGGTCAAGTAGGAGAAAGGAAATGTTAGGTTATGTAAGCATTAATTGGCTTGTGCTGCAAATTCAGAAATAAATATATACATAAGTACAAAACGTTACCCGCTAGCGTTGCACTTTGTAATAATAAGTAAGAAACCGTAATATAGAAAGGCCAGGCCCTTTCTAACATTTTTGTTTCTTTACAAAGTAGTTTTAAAACTTTATACAAACTTAAGTTCTTTTGTTCAGTTTTTCCATTACACTGGTTTTTAATTAACCTAGAAACTAATTTTTTTAAGCAGTAGTTAATTTCAAATTCGATTAAGTATTTAGTGAGCAATCTACCGACTTTTGTGAAGTGCTGTATTGCAAAAGAAAATGAGTTAAGGCCTTTCCATATTAAGGTGTAAAAGTAAAATTGCGTTCGTTTCGCCACTCGCCAAATGTTGGCGAATCGATGGTGGCTTATGGTTGCATATTAGTAGTTATTTTTTTTACTAAAAAGGAAATTGGTCCTTCTTTTGCTAATAAAATCTCATTAAATCAACATATCAGCAAAGCGTTCTTTTACAATTTTTTCCGTTTGAACATTTTTTCGTTTTTCGACAACCCTTCTGAAAATTGCATAATCACCGTATTTGTGAAAAATGCAAACACTTTAAAACACTATTAATTTGCTAAATGATCGAGGTGTGTGTCGTTTTAAGCTTTCACTAAGCCATATTAAAAAAAATAACAACAACAACAATCACCAACATCGTAAACAAAGCTGCATATTTGCAGCAATCAAATTCCGTAAAATCAAACTTTGAACATTAAAAAACCATCGATTTTATGATATACAACAAACCAAATTTGATGATATTGTTGTTACCATATTGGTTGCGCGTTAAATGCTTGTTTTTTCCCCCCTCATACATGTTTTTAAAGTAGCTGCTGCTTGTTAATGGGCGTAACTGTGCGCGCGCGTACTCTTCTGTATGCAGACTTTTGTATTTATTTTGTCCGCGTATGCTTATAGAATTTTAATTGGCATTGGAAGCACACTGCCGGGTAGTACGCTATTTTGGTTACATATTTTTTTTTGTCTTTTTCAATGTTGCTTAGTGCTTTTTTTTTTGCATTGGAATATAGCTTCTTTGGTTTTCGAGTGTAAATCAGCCAAATTTTTTGCCATTGTGTGGCAATATGTATGTACATACATATGCTTGCATGTACTTATCCATTTCGTTGCTGATATAATCCCAGCTGCGAACTGGAGCACAGGTGCTAGATGGGTTGTTTGGCAAGCGAGTCATCGCACTGAGTGCCCCAGATCTTGTCGCTGGCAAGCTGACGCAAGTTGACATCATTTTGGTTTTAATGAGATTTGATGAGTTTGGTATGCTTGCGGGTGAACGTACAATTAGATTAAAGATAAACTAGTGTTTTGAGGAATGTGAGAAATTTATGTGGTATTTTCAGTGTTTATTTAAAGTTTTCTATTCAAATAAGATTTGAGATGGGAAGGTCTTTTTCGGAATGTCGGACTTTTGCGTAGCATTCGTAGTCTTGAATAATTACCGAAAAATGTGTGGGAAAATATAAAAAAAAAGTTGAAGGCTTCCGCGTACTACTCGACAAACGTGTTCTTTTAGAAAACCTTTTTTTCTTTCGTTTTGATCTTAATAGCCCCAAGTCAAAGCAAGAGCTTATTGCTCCCCAAATATCAACGAAACGCGTTTTTAGCTATACTTTTGGTACTATTATTTTCTTAATAACTCCATTATTCCTCCAGAGCCCTTACATTTCATAGATTTAAACACTTTCCACTCTATAGGGGTTAAAAACTCAGCAGTGAAAATTAAGGTTTCAGAATTTCGGTCTTTCTGCATTCCAGCAAGGCCTTCTCTTGCTATTTCCAATGCGATAGTTTTGTCAACTTTTCATATCTAAAATATAAATGACCATATTTACGCAAAAAATGTGTGTGAAAACGTTTATAATTCATGCCGTTGTTAGTAATAAAAAATTGCGTATTCGATAAAAAAAAAACGGAACAAAAACAATCGGTAATACTGCGGTAATGCGCTCACTTTCGTTTTCGAGCAAAGAATGTCAATCAAGGGCGAGACAGCAGCAGTGTAGCCACGACTACAAAGTATAATATAGGCAGTTAAAAACGCAAGTAGTGTTAAAATAAAATAAATAAAAAGAAAAATAAACCAACATGAATATGTAGAGGAAGAAAAATGCAGCTTTGAGAGTCCAACGGCCGGCCGCTGTGTACAAGTATTAATAAGTGAGTAACCGCGCGCGTACGTGTGGCGCATGAGTGATTCAGCGTGCGCTTGAACCCAGCTTGGACAGCTAAGGTGGCGACTAGCGTATTGGCTGATTGCCCAGCTAGGTTTTTTCTTGATAGCTCCGTGATTGAGACGCTTCGGCACATAGCGATTGGAATTTTACTAGTATTACATAGATTTCTGGCCAAAAAATGCAAATTACACGCACAACAACACACGCATATGCCTGCGCTACGAAGGTACGTGATCGATATTGTACCGATTGCGAAATGTCTTTCAAAGTTGGGAAGAGAAGTGTTGTAAGAAGACCCGATACTCGCTGTTGATGCGTGTTGGCGAGTGCAGTATTCGACGCATGCTATACGCGTGTGAGGCGCTCAACCACCAACCATCGCAATCGCACATCCGCTTTATAAATACACCATCTGCATAGGAAGTCCATTTTATTGTTGAACGAAACGCAGACGCGTACGCGTCGTGGTGCAGAGTACGCGCGTTAATACATTTTATTCGTGAAACTTTTGTGACGAAATTCGCCTAATAAATCAAACGGTTACACTAAAATTGCTCAGTGCGTGTTATATAATCACATTACATTGCGCCGAGCCATGAAAATGAAAGCGAAATTACTTATAGCTGTAACACTTCTAGCAGCAATCGCCTCTAGCAGCGCTGTGAAAGTGCGTCCTTTGGGCAAATATGGACATAAGCGCGCGGTTCAAAGTGAACAGAGAAGGGAATCACACAAAGCTGCAGAGAAAACTGACGACAGCATAGCAGAGGAAAAATCCCAGTCAGAGCTGCGGTCGCCGTTGGTAGCGTCAACTGAGTTGCAGCGCAAGGAGGACGTCGGTAAGGATGTACACAAGCGTGGCATCTACTACAACGGTGGCCTAGGATACGGCGCACAAGCTGCATATTGGCCAAAAACCTACGCTTCTCACTATGGTTACAACTTGAACTTGCCTGGTGCCACTGCCTTTTCCAATGTTGCAGCGCATGGACATGCTCATCAACCCGTGTACGCGCATGCGCCCAGCTTTGCTACCGCGCCTGTTTACGCTTCTCACGCGCCTGCCTATGCAACACACGCGCATGAGCCCATTTTTGTGAAATACCCCAGCGCTGGCGGTTTCCATCTTAAACACTTCGCCGCTGGACCGGCTGCATTCCCTGTCGCCAGCTATGGTGGTTCTGCAATAGGTCTGGACAACACTGCCATTGCCTTCGGACCAACTGCTGCTGCGCCAGCGCTTCCACCAACTGCTGTAGCGACGTTGCCACACCCGCACCTGAGTTCATTCGCGCCAGCTGTGGGTGCTGCTGTAGCACCTGTGGCCCCCGCTATAGCACCCGTTGCCCATGCAAGTGCGCCAGTCAATCCCGCCTTCGTCTCTGCTGCTCCGGTCTCACCATACGTTCTGCGCCCCGGCGGTGCTGTTGTCTCCTCCTACAACGTGAACTTTCCTCGGTTCTCGCAGAAACCCGTGTTTGCTGTGCCTCACGTGACACCCGTTCAGCCTGCGGTAGCTCACATACACCCAGTGCAACCTGTACAGCCAGCTGCAGTGCCAGTGCAACCCGTACAGCCGGTGCAGCCGGTTCAACCGGTTCATACTGTTGTGCAAGTACAACACACGACTCATCCCTTTGCATCTGTACAGCCCTTACATCACTTCCCTCATTATTTCCAGACGAGCTTTGTGCCGCCCCAGCGCATACCTGTTGCCGTGCCGGCAGCGCCCGTACCTCCGATACCTTCCATCCCTGCCGTTCCTCTCACACCTAGCTTCCCTGCCCTGCCTAGTTTCCCGCCAGCGCCAGCTTTGCCCGCAATACCCACCTTCCCTTCAGCGCCAGCCTTTCCTGCCATTCCCACAGTGCCTGCTGTTCCTGCTACGCCTGCTGTGCCCACCATACCTACTGGGAGCATACCAACGATTCCGCCAACAGCCTCTGCGAACCCCAACCTGGTATTCCCTCTCGGTGTGCAACCTCCTTCGAGGCCTCAACAGACTCCGACCTTCGTAAGTATACCAGTGCAACCGGAGGCACAATTCCCACCACTTGTACCTTTGCCTGGCTCACAACGGCCGGAAACTGGTAGCGCGGAAGCAGCGCCACAAATTCCAAACATACCACCAGCGCCAGCACCGCTTCCCGAGCCCGAGGTGCCCGCGCAGGGCTCCCAGGAACCCTGGAGGCCAATACTGTCCTACGGGCCCCCCAGTGTGGATCGACCTGCGCTAACTTTGCTGCCACCGTATGGCAGCTCACCGGGAGAGGGTAAGTAAAATGCCTGAAGAGTGTTTGGAGAGTTTTTAACATCTTGCATCTTTCGCTTACACAGCTTACTTGCCACCAGCACCCTCACCGCAACAACAACAGTATCAGCAGCAGCAGCAGCAACAGCAACAACAAGCGGGGCTCTTCGATAACCTGTCGGACTCGGAAATCGAGCACATTTTTGCACAAGCAGCCAACTTGGCTGCGCAACACGCGTCCCAACAGACCCGCCATCGTACATTCTCCAACTATTAGGAAGGGAAGTGAGTTTAGGATTAAGCGTAGTTAGGAATTATTATAATTGAATTCTACTACTTAAGTATTGCGGGATCGAAAAACGAAAACTTTCGGGCGGGGAGAAGAAAAACGGTGATGTTTGCCGAATTTCGTGGTGATTGTTAAGTGGAATTAATTTAAGTTGTCACTTAAGTTATACATTTATTTATTCAAACAAATAAAATTGTAAGTAAAAATTAAACTGAAATACTGTGTCTAAAATATCGATAGAAATATGGCTTTTTATTTTTAGAAGCAAAAAAATGAGTCAAAGAATGAATGGCGCATATTTATAGTCGAATGAAGTCAACTCTAAAGATAGTTATAGACTTTTTGACCGATATTCCCTAGAAAATTATGTCAAAAGGCTGCAACTGACTTTGGAGTCGACTTTATGTTGACTATGAATATGCACCAATGAGTTTTAAATAAGTGAAAGTGAAATTCTCATCGGGCTTAAGAAAAAATTACTATTAAATAGGAATAATCTACAACCAAATGAAGGGCGTTACAACAAAAATCGCAAGCTTATGAACTGAACCTTTAAAGCGCAATTGTAACTGGAATTGAAATATCAACCCTGGTTGGCATTTAATAAACCTTCTTCGATTTCAAATTTCAAATAGAACGCCTCAAATCTTCCTGGGAAAAAAGCTCAATACCAGAGCTTTTTATTAAAGCACTACCACCGAATATGGGTGCTTTGTACCCCTCACACGCTGTTTTACGTTCAAAGTGGCGGATGCCAAAGCTTTTTCATTCATAAATTTTCGTTGAAATGCCGGCACGAATTCTGCTGGTGCCGAATAAGTTTCGCTTTGCCGCCATAATTCCGACGCCGACGTTCTGCGTGCTTCGGCGTTTGCGGCTGTCGGCTGTCGGCTTGCGCTTTGTTTTTGTTTGATTTGTTTTGTTTTCGCCTTTTTGCTCCTTCATTTGTTGCACACACGCAGCGCCGCCGTCTGGGAGTGTGTAAAGATGCCTTTGTGGGCGACTAGACGTGGCTGCCTGGCTGGCTGCTGCTTGCAGCATTTCTTCAGTTGTCTACGATAAGCAGACGCGTATGGACGTGCCGCAAAGTATCTATGGAATTTAGAAAATCTGAGAATTTAATTGGAAATATTGTTAGTTGAATAAAAATTCGGGAGATGTGCTGAAATTTATTGGTAAAAAGAACGAAGAAGGTAGACAATTTTTAAATATGAATTGAAAATATTCGAGTTGTGGTAAAAAAAATTGTTGATGATAAGAGTTGTAAACAAAAAATAAAATAAACATAGATCGAAAAAAGCAAATAAACTTTAAATAAAAAAAAAAAATAAAATATAATTATAAATTTTATATTTATAAAAAATTAAAATATTAAAAGATATTTCAATTATATAACTGATCGACATGTTCTGCGGTCAATACATAATTACTACTTCTCAAACTAAAATATGTAAGAATAAAAAGTAAAAAAAAAAAACAAAATGTGTATCTGCAAGTTTTGAAAAGATGACAACCAAAAACTTTTTTTGAGAATTCAATTTCAAGAGCAAAATAAATTAAAAAACAATTAAACAAATTTGGTTTTAATGTGGTTGAAATAAATTCAATTAAAATAGAAAATTTAAAATAAAAAAAAATAAAAATAAGTTGAGCAAATTAAAGTTAAAATAAGAAAAAAAAAGAAAAAAAATGCTAAATCTAAATTCAAGCTAAACGAAATTCTTTGAACTAAAAGGAACCTCCAAAACACTACCAGAAGCCCATAAAACCAATTAGAAAAAAGTGAAAATATTTCGAAATTAAAAACTAATCAGAAAACAGCTCAAAGGCAAATGATTAGCTAAGTGTTTAAAAGCATTTACAGATACCGCCTGCCGCTTCGTTGGAATTTTCGACGTCAAAAGTGGATACTACGCTGCGCTTTCAAGGCAAATAATAGGTAAATAATTCCATTTACAATAACAAATAAAATACAACAAATCCCAAATTAAGTGACGTTCGTGGCATTCTACTTGGCAGCATTGTGGCATGTGGTTGCGCTGATAACAATCACAGCGCACAAAAATGTGAAAATAAAATACTTACAGCTGAGCGCGCACGCACACTCGATATAGAAAACATAACTGTAAACATTTTTATGGTCGGAGGACCGACGAGGGGTTGGGGAATTTAAAATGTCTCCCAGTTAAGTAAAAAAAAATATTAAACATTATTGTCGAAAAATGTACGCAGTCAGGTTCAAACAATCTTTGCATACAAAATGTTTTAATTTCGGATATACACATACATATCTACATACGTAAGAGCGTACCCAAAAGCAACAAAAAAAGTTCTGCGAAAGTTTAACTTTTTTGTTTACTTTTGCGTTGTTAATTTACTTGTTTTTTTTTTTGTTTTCTAAACCACTGCCCTGGACTTTATTTGATGTCATCGTGACAGCCATAGATTTCCGCTGAATTACCGGAGCGGTAGCTGGAATATGATATGTACATATGTATGCACATTGCTTGGTTGAATAAATATTGCGGTTTGGCTATTCTCGGATTTTTTATTTTGCGACAATAAAAAAGTCGCAAGGAAATTCAGATGTATAAGGCCAACAACGATTGATGAGCAATTTTTTATAAATAGAATATTTTCGTTGGTTGTTTGGACGTTGAGGCGTTTTCACTCTCATTTATACAAATAAATCGAGCGAAAATTCCGAAGGAAGCCTTTAAAGCTTCCTGCTCAAATATTTATTTTTATTTTTGAAATACCTAGCTTTCATAGACTCCATGGCTGATTCATTTCTATCTCTCTCATTCCGAAACCTTCTTAAAAAGTGTTCGTCTCAGACCCTCTGACGCTTGTGGCCGCCGCTTCCACATGCCTGGAGTTTCTTGGAAGCTTTCACCTCTCGAATATATGGTTTCAAACGAGGGTTCGCTTTTCTTTAAGAATAATTTCCTAGATTAAAGTTTTTTTTTCCAACAGCGCGACGAGATGAGCTTTCACTTGAAAAATTTTAATAAATTCGATATTCAACTTTAAGAGCTTGAAGTGGCTTTCGCCTTAACTAGAAAACCTCCCACTTTGTACAAGGAAGCCACGTTATCACATATTTCAGTTTCAATTTGCGGAAAAATAGAAAGAATTACTTATCTTTAGTATGGGTGTTTACGCGGTTACAAGGCATTTACGCGTTTAGATGAATACTTATTGTATATGTTTGTATATAAGGGTGGTCCAAAAATGCATGTGAAAAAGTAAAGTCGCAATTTTTATGCTCTTACCCCCTAGGATTGTTCTATACCGAAAAAATATGTGTGTTATATGGGAAGAAAACAACTTTTCGTAGAAATGGCATGGAATTCTTGAAAATCAATATTTTTCTTTCAATTAATTATTTAACTATATTTTATAGGTCTGCCAAAACCCACAGAAAATGCCACAAATTAATTAAATAAACAATTAGATATTCTTATTGGAAGTTTCCGGAGGAGAGTCAGAGCTTTTCTAATAAAGAATATTGATTTTCAATAATTCTATACCATTTCTATGAAATATTGATTTTTCCTATATAAAATACATGGGCAACTTTGAGCGCTTTGAGCGACCTATAAATATTTTTTGATTCCAAAATATATGTACAACAATCCTGAGGAGTGAGAGCATTAAAATTCCGATTGTACTTATTTCGGCCCACCCTAAAGTATATATATTTTAATTGAAAAGTCACTAGCAGCGCATGGAAGGGCTCTTAATACCAAAAAAATATTTAGTTTAAATTTTTTTTAAATATATTTTGACATCCACAAAGTTGTTTTGGGATTGAGAAGGGAAGCTTTCACACGGTAAGGGGCTTTCATATGATTCAGTGAAAAGCTTTCCCCAGTAGGTACGAATTAGTTTGGTGAATAGGAAAAGTGAGGTATTCACACGATAAAGAGCTTTTGCATGAGCTTTTACCATGTTTTTTATTTTTTTTAAGAAAATTGTTTAAAATAAAGTTGAATTTTAGCGGACAAGCAAGTAGGAAGAAAAGCTTTCGCTATAAGAAAAGTTTTCCAGGCAATAGGGCAGGATTAATTTGCCAAACGTATATTCCAAAAGCCACAATTTCTTGGTCGTTTATCGACTTTTCACTATGAAAGCGCTATGTTGCAATGCAAGAATTTTCATCCAACAGGTGTTTACATGGAGCATTAATGCTGAAAGCTCTTCAAGCAAAATAAAATGAGCCTTTTCTAGGCTTTTGAATTATCCATTAAACAGTCAGTGAATTCGAAAGAAATTTTACACAAAATAAACCATCATAAAAATCATTTATCATTTTGGAGAGGACAGAAAAGTACAGCACACTTTGTATCATTTATCATTGTTGCGTGCGAAAAAATTTCTTTTTTCTGAAAAAGTTTTATTTTGTCATTTGTCATATTATCAACTTCGATACAGTTACTCGTTTGCGCTAGCTCGAAACCGCTACTTAATTTGCTTCGATAATTTTATTTTAGGCAAACACACACAAATACACGTACGTACAATACAAAAATCAAATCTATTTGCATTGCGGTTTTTGCTTGTGTGATTTAAGTAAATATATATTTACATACATACGTGTGCTTAGCATACATTGCGGCGCATTAGCATTTTCCATGGTTTCTACGCCTTATATAATACGGTGGCGTATACATGAAAATCCATATGCTTGAGGAATTCAGCAACACAAAGTCGTCTGTAAATAAGCGTTTATATATTTTCTTTGTGAATACATTAACAAGTATTTGTCAACTTCGTCTCACCGGTTTTGAGCCAGATATTTGCATACTTATTTATATTTTAAATCAATTTCGCATGTACTAGTTAATCAGTTAGAAAGTTCTCCTCAGAGCCTAACAAGGAAATTGTATCTAAAGCGTGAGCTTATTTTGAAAAAATAAATGAATGAATAAATCTGTGTTCGTATGGAAAAGTAGCTTATGTCGAAAGGCTGGCTTTAGTATAATGCGGCAATTACTTTAAACGGTAAGGAATTTTTTGATGAGACTTAATAAGAATATTGACTTGCTAGTATGGGAACTATTTCTTCCACGTTTATATGCCAAAAGTTGTTTAACGGCTTAGCGCCAGTGAGTCATTCGCAATCGTATGCTGCGAATGTCGATTTATACTAAAGCCAGCCTTTCGACATAAGCTACTTTTCCATATGAACACAGAAATAAAAGAAGTTAATTTGAGAGAGTCAAAAGGGGCACACAAAAATTTAAAAATAAAATTTAACCTTTCTATTTTTAACCGACTTAACAAAAAGGAGAAGGTTATCAATTCGTCGGAATATTTTTTTTTGTTTTTTTTTTTTATGTATTATACCGCATAACTTTGGACCACGTTAACCAATTTATATAATTCTTTTTTTAAAGGAGAGATGTTACCCCACAGGTGGTCCCAAACTAATTTGGTTTAAATCCCATCATTGGATCATGAAGAAATTAAAAGAAAATCTTAAATTTTTTTATGAAAATTGAAACCGGTTTTGTTTTTTTTGCTTAAAAATTACTTGTATCATATAACGAAGTTCTTCCAAAGGCAAAAAAATATAAATTTTTTTTCGAAAATTTAAATATTTACAATTTATTGGATGTGGCCAATTTATTATGGTTGTGTTTTCGTTATAAGGTTATATTTGGGGTTAAATAAAGAAATGTAATAAAAGAAAAATAAACACAAAAAATACAAAACTTGGAAGTTTAAAAACCCGTAAAAGCAAAAACTTATATAAATTTTTGGCTAAAATGTTTTTTATACTCTAATGGCCTTATTCATAAAAAATAAAGTAGGTTTAAAGAGCTTTATAAATTGACGTTTCCATACATTTTTCAATTTATAAACCTTTTATAAAGCTCCTTTATTTTTTATGAATAAGGCCATAAAACTCTAACTGATTTTAAAGTTGTGTGAAATTTTCAAGATGTTTTTTTTTTTTAAAGATGTAAATGTTTGAACTTTGAAAAATTTTATTGCAAACTCTCAATTAAAAAGAATATACTTCTTTTTCATAGTTAAAAAATGTGTACCCTTAAAAAGAAACTCCCTTCTGTAATATTTCAGGATCTTTCAAGATCAGCTGGAGGTGTTGTATAAAAAAATTGAGTCTAAAATGTTTATAAGTTTTTATTTTCACGTTGTTTTTAATTTAAAAATTCTGTTAAGTGTTTTATTTTTCGAATTTCACCATCGAAACGAGACTATAACCATTTTCGTAACCATAATCGTTTTTGAGATATTCAAAAAATAAACTTGCAAATGCTGGAAATTATCAAATTAAGAATTTTGCGTTACTTTCGAAAAAAAAGTTTACTTTTTTTCTTTGGTAGAACTTTGTTATGTGATAAAAGCAGAGATCGAAAATTTTTTATTGTGTTTCTCACTGACACAAATACAAATCTCTCAAGCAAAGAGTGTTTCTCACCGTGCCAATTCTCTCTGTATTATCTTTTGGTGTTTTCTGTTGTGGGTTATTTATCAACTGCTTAAATTTCCCTTCTGCAAAGACGCTTTGGCAGGGACTTTTATTTTTAAGTGTCCTCGTTTTTGGGTTATTGAAAGACAGAAAAATATAAGTGGATGTACATAAGTGGAAGAAAAGCGTTAGGCATATCTTTACACGACATATACGTACACATTTATGCGAGCATTTGTGACACAGAAGAATCAAAATAAGCTATTTAATTATATTATATTTTATTATATTAAGCATTTTTTCGTACGTATATACCAGTGTAAGCTTTGCGAGACAGTCAGTCCTTTCTTTACCTTCAAACCATTCATGTCCAGTGACCAACCGCAGCGTTACTCTATTTTGGACTTCTAGGTGGTTCAAGAGAGTTTTACAACTGCCCACAACCCTGGATGAGTTCAAAGCCTTTAATGCTGCCCGACTATCCGACATTTCTGGCA